ACCACAACGACCACACCCCACCCCCTACTCCACTGTCACCACAATCATTTCAACCACAACTACCACCCCCATGCCATGGCCATACCCACCACCATCTCGTCGCGCACTCCGCTTCCTCTTCCTCCTCATCCTCCTCCTCTCCCCGCTCCATCTGACCCGCATCCTCATCCCCGACTCCGATACCCACACCCCTCAACCATCACATGCCATTCTGCCTATTCACCAACCAACGGCAATCTCAAGCCGCCCAGCCCCGACCCAGCCTCCTCAGCTGCCCCTGCCTCGCCGACCACCAGCCGCCAGCCGTCGCCCGCTGGCCCGATCAGCCCACATTCATCACCATCTAGCTCCCTCCCACTACCAGCTACGCTACCCACAACCTCACCCAATGTCATCACACACCCCACACTATCACCAGTATCAATATCGCTGTCATCGACACTCATCTTCCTCGGCTCACTTTCGCGTCGACTTGTTCTGCCTAGGTGGTTGAGCACGTCCTCGACCGCCCGACCCCGCACACAACCCCCATCACACTCATTGCAAGATATGGCCAATCTGATTTCACAACTACTCTACTACATACACACACTACCCCCATGCACAGTCTCCAATCCACAGCTGCTGTATTCCGGAATCCGAGTTCTGCCACCTGAGGCCCAACTTGTTGTCCTGGTGTCCCTTCGATGCTGCTGACTCCCCTGCCCCGGGCCCATCTCCGACCCCCACTCCCCACCATCACCACCCACAACCACCACACCCACGCCACACGTACTCACTATGCCTGCAAACATAGCCACCCTCTTCCTGCCCGCTGATATTGACATCAGCCGACGCCATCCCGTCAACAGCATCGCTGCTGACCGCCTGCTGCTCGCCGCCGACCGCCGCCCGCCGCCGACCGACCACTGCCGGCACCACCAAGAGCAAGCTAGCCATCGACAGGGCATTGGAGACGATGCATACGGATAGCCACATCAATGGCAATGACTACCAGTCTGCCCTCCAACCCATTTCTCCCCTCCCTCCTCCGGCCTTGCCCATCACAGCCCCCGCCGGCCGGCTCATCGCCAGCCGCCCCTGCTGCCGACCGCCGAGCCAGACGACGAAGCCACCGGGCTGGCCAAGACAAAGAATAACAAGAGAGGGCAAGTGCAAGCGATAGGCAATGCAGTGGTGGACTAGAGTGCAGTGGTCTGCCACCTCTTCCAATCCCAAGCCATCGTCCCCATCGACATCCATCTCAATCCAATCCGTCCGCCCTCCTCCCCCTCGCCGCCCAAGCCCCTCCACCCTCATTGCCCACACCCCCCACACACCCATTAGCCGTATCATACTCACCTTTAGCAATGCTCAAGCCCAATCGCCATACCCACTGCCATTCCGCCCGTCCCGCCTCCCACATCACGACCCCCTCATCCCCCCTACCATACTCATTACCACCCGTCACCACAAACCACCACCCTCACCCCTACTTCACCACCATCACTATCATCCTAGCCACAACCACCACCACCTTGCCTTGGCCATCCTCACCACCATCCCATCGCGCACTCCGCTTCCTCTTCCTCCTCATCCTCCTCCTCTCCCCGCTTTACCTCACCCCCATCCTCATCCCCGACCCCGACACCGTCATCCGTCAACCATCACCAGTCATGCTACTCATCTACCAACCAATACCAATCTCGAGCCACCCAGCCCCGACCGCGCTGCCTCAGCTGCCCCTGCCTCGCCGACCACCAGACGCCAGCCACCGCCCGCTCGCCCGATCAGCCCCACATTCATCACCACCTAGCTCCTTCTCACTACCCGTGAACGTCGGCGAGCTGTGGTACTCGCCACATCGCAGAGACGGAACCGAACAAGATGAGACTCAGCAATGCAAGCACCTCTATCCCACTCACAGATCAGAGCCCACTTACAGCCGCATCGCGCCGGAAGCAGCCACATCTTGCCTCAACCATCCGATCGCCATCTCGCGACCGGAACCCTTTTGCGACCGCCCTTCGTCCTCGTCCTCCAACAGATGCCTACCACGCACACTCTCGTCCATCGAATGCGTTCATCCTATGCTGAAAATACCCGATCCCGTCTCGCTCTCGGAAGTCAAGCAGCATGAGGCTTGGTTGGTACTGTGGTGGGGGACCACACGGAATATCGAGTAACGCTTTCTATTTTCTTTTACTCGTTGCCCAACTCTCCCTTCCCTCCTCACTCTCACTCCTCATGATCAGCGCTCGGCTACATGCCACATCGCCCACTCTGGTGGAACGTGCTCCAGCTTGCAACGCATCCCGGTCATGGGCGTGGAGTACTAGCCGCGGAGGTGCAAACAAGCACAACGAGGGACTGCTGCCTCGCGAGGGTCCACAGACGGGACAGGCGCCCACAACCGAGGCATCGGCGCTCTCGCTTGCAAAGAACTCCTGATCCCCCAGCTGGGAATCAGGCGCAGTGGCCATGACTGGCGCTCTTCTCTCCTCACGCCCGTAGAGAAGGTCCCCGACGATAGTGCAGCCGACCGCATGCGCGAGATATGCGCGGATATCGAGTGTCAGGGTGGCTGAGGCCTCGCACCTGCCCTGCCGTGTACTCGGACGTAGTCAACGCCGGTCGGCTCGATAGGGACATCAATAACAACATGCCACCCCTCACGACAAGTCATATGCATCCTCTAATAGGGTATTGTTGGGCGACCCACCCGTGTTCTCGACGGTGCGCTCAAAATCCCGCTCGAGCTCCCTCACCGCCAACGGTCTCGTTGTTCGGCGTCGGCCTCCGCGCCTCCCCGCTGCATCCGGACCTGCCCTGCCCACCCGACCCCACACGCCGCGCTCTCTGTCACTGGCCCACACTCACACTTACACTTAACGACACTCTTCTTTCACTACTAGTACGTTGAGCTTTGTCGTTCCGCACCCTCTGGTTGTGCCTGCCCTGGCCCACACTCACCTTTCCCGCTTCTCGCTACTCGCTTCCCGCAGACATGGCAAAGAAGGACAAGGCCAAGGCCAAAGACAAGGGCAAGGGCAAAGACAAGGGCAAAGGCAAGGGCAAGAGCTCCAAGGAAGGCAAGTCATCGCGAGGTGATGCTTCAGAGATCGGCTCCATGGCCGAGTCCAACTACGATGTTGAGTACACCGACGCCAAGGCCGAGCGCCTCTACCATAAGGCCTGCGAGTTTGAGGCCGACGGCGATCTCAAGAACGCGCAGCGGACCATGGAGGACTGTGTGGCGCGCAACCGTGACTACGCCAAGTATTTCCAGAAGCTTGGCAATCTTCGCATGCAGCGCGGCCTCGCCGCCGGCGGCAAGAGCAGCGACAAGGGCTACGCCCTGCTCAAGGCTGCTTACAAGGATCTCCGAAAGGCTGTTGAGCTCAACCCAACCTTCTCCGCACTTGGTGACCACGCGCTCCTTCACATGCACCTCAACGCCCTCAAGCGCGCCGCCGTATTCTACGAGCTGGCCATCGACGAGGCCCTCGCCCACAACATCGAGGCCGATGCAAACACCTACGAAATCCTTGGTGACGGCCTTCGCCGCGCCCGTTACAAGCTGCAGTATGACGTCTCCATGCCCGAGGAGGAGAGCAATGCTGATGGAGACACGGGCAAGGGTAAGGGCAAGGATAAGAACAAGAACAAGAGCAAGAGCAAGAGCAAGAGCAAAGGCAAGTCCAAGTCCAAATCCAAGTCCAAGGACTCGTCGTCGTCCTAAACTCCCGCACTACAGGCATTTACGGTGGATGATGTTGGGCCCGCACTCGGCGTACGCAATCTTGGTCACGCACATCTTCTTAAACACACCGACGGTGGTCACGATCACGCCGCCGTGCCACACCGCGCTAACAGGGTCCGGCGGCGAGGACACCGCCACTGCAGTCCGCTGCCCCGCCCACTGCTTGACCTCAGCCTGCAACCGTTCGCATGAGCCCGGCGTGAGTGCGTTGCCGCCCGACATCACAATGGTGGCGTACAGTGTGTCACGCATCTGGGGTTCGACGGTCTCGATCCCGGCAGCCACCGCGTGCTGGACAGAGCCCATCGACGACGTTCCGTCAAAGAGTGATGAACCAATCAGAGCCCGCGCCACGTACGGCACTGTCACTGCTGTCCCGTCTGGAAGCTCAAACGAGGCCTCTTCGCCGGCGCCCTCAGCCGACACGTCGAGCCCCATCGGCGCCACAACCGCCACCGCGTGCTTGAACTCGCGCGCCACGTCAAGCGATCCGTTGTAGTTACTTCCTGCGTTGCGCTTCAACCACGCATCCGCCGCCGCAGTCGCATCCTCGCCGGCAAGCTCGATCCGCTGCATGCCCTCACGCCGCGGAAAGCCGTCGTAAATCGGGACGGTCGTGGTGACGCCGGCCCCAGACTCGACCACCACTCCGGACGTCTTGCCCGCCGCAAACAGCGCGAGCTGGCCCGCAACGCAGATGTATCCGGCGTGCACGTCGAGCGACTCGAACATAATCTGTGCCGTGTGCTCGCGTGCCGCCTTAGTGTTGAGCGTCTGCTCAGCCACAAGCATGACCGAGCCAGCCGACTCGACCTCAGCCTTGGCGTACGCTGACCGCCACAGCGTCTCCACCTGCTCCCACGACCGCACACTCCCACGGTGGACAGGCCAGACCGCGTCCGGCACCGCCGCCGCCTCGTCACCCACCACACTTCCGTCTGGCGTCACCGTCGAGAGAAAGTCGACCGACGGTGCATGGCCCGTAGCCAAGCCGGCCTTGGTCCGCCGCGAGCCGGTGTCGACCACAAACACAGCCCGGTTGTCCATGAGCTCACACCGCCAGAACCAGTACTTTGCCCTATGTCCGCCTCTGGCTCCAACCACAGCCGCTACTTGCCCCCGCTCTACCCGGAACGAGTCGTGTGTTGCGTGTCGGCCCTTGCCCTACCCCTCCCCCAGGCCGCGGCTTTACGCGCTACCGCCAAAGATGTCCGCCCTCCGAGTCACGCCCGCTCTGCTCCTCCTCCACCTCCTCCTCCTCCACCTCCTCTCTACCACCGCTCACTCCTGCTCACTCCCATCACTTCTCTCCCACACCCCACATGCAGTGTATGGGTGGCCGTTTGGAGGATACCCTCGCTGCAGAGGGCGGGGCTCTCCCTGCTCTTGTCTTTGCCTGTGTTACTTTCCTCGCAGACGCAGGTATGCACGCCCTGCCCTTCCCCCTCCCCCTCCCCCCTTCCCTACCTCCGTTTCGCCGTCTACTCACCCCGTTGACCTGCTAGGTATCTACACCGACGGCATCTTCCGCGTCTCGGCTTCTGCGTCGGACATCGCTGAGCTCAAGACCGCGCTCGAGAGCCAGACATCTGCCGGCGACGCTCTGGTCATCCCGACCGATACCGAGGCTGCTGCCGTCGCTGCTCTGCTCAAGGAGTATCTGCGCGAGCTGCCGGAGCCCATTGTGGCTGATCATCTGTTCGAGGTCTTTATGGGCGTGGTTGAAGACGAAGAGTACGCCCTCGATGAGGAGCGCATGTTCAAGGTTCTCCTGCTCCTCGACCCTCCGCGCAAGTCACTCATGGCTGTCCTCATGGGCCTTCTCCACGAGATCTCGACCTACGCCAACATCAACCGCATGACGGCGAGCAACCTTGCGGCCGTCATGGCGCCGAACATCCTTCGCCGCAAGGGCATGGCTCCACTGGAGGAGGCCGAGCGCTCGTCGACCGCCATCAAGTTTATGTCTTTTGCCATTGAGCATGCCCCGGCGCTCATTGCCAAGCTTGCCCCTGACGGCGTCTCCGACTTTGCCTTTATCACCCGCTCGCGGAATCCGCTTGCACTCATGTCCGACTCCTCCGATGACGACACTGCCGGCATGCTCGGCACCTCGGCGGCCGCGCTGGAGCTGGCCATCGGCACCGGTGGCGCCGTCACCCGCGCTACCCGCTCGCGGACGTACACAGACTCATCAGGCCTTCTCGCCACCTCCTCCGACGACGACGGTCTTCTTACGCCGGCCGGTCCAATGCCAAACCTCTCGTCATCGTCGTCCGGCAACAGCAGCAGCCCAGGTGCCGCCGCCTTGTCCCCGGCCAACGCCGTTGTGGTTCTTGTCTCGTCGTCTGACAACGATGACGACGGCCTTGCAAGCTCGGTCGCGGCTCCAGCTGCTTCCCACGGCTCGCCTGAGAAGCCGATCGTCATTCACGCCGGGACCGAGGAGCCGGTGCCTGTCGCTGCTCCCACCTCTGCTCCTCAGCCAGAGCTCGAGCCCGTTGTCGCCGATGCAGCCGCTGGCGACGAATCGTCGTCGGGTGACCTCGTCGAGTCTCCAGTCCGTCCGTATGCCACTCTCCCGCCTGCCACCACTGCACCGTCATCCGACGCAGAGCTTGCCGATCTCCGCAAGCAGCTCAAGCTGGCTTGTGCAGAGAATCAGGCTCAGGCCCGGCAGCATGCCGACGAGCTCAAGCGCGTACATGCCAACTACGCCCACGACCTCGAGGTTCTCCGCACTCATCTCCGCGAAGCCGAAGCCAAGGCCGAAGAGGCCTCGCTCACCGTCACGCCGCTGCATCAGGAGACCGTCGCTGTCATGCAGGCCGAGATCCGCTCGCTGTCTGAGAAGCTTGCCGCCGCCGGCGTCAACCCCAAGTCTGGCAATCCGGAGCTCTGCATGCGCATGCTCCCGCCCATCGCGCCGCAGGCGCTCACCACTGACGACAACGAGCCACTCCGCGCCCACGTCTGGGCCTCGTTTGCTTCCTTCACCGACTCGGACGAGCTGCTCAACATCCGCGAGGGCGACGAGCTTGATGTCCTTTCCACCGAGGGCAACTGGTGGCTGGCCCGCTCACGTGCTACCGGGGCTACCGGTCTTGTTCCTTCCAACCATGTCGTCATCGATCTCGAGAACCTTGTGCAGCGGCGGCGCGAGGCTACCGAATCCGACGCATCGTCGGGCCCCGCCCCCACCACCGCTGAACAGGCCGACCCCGATGCCGACCCCACCCCCACCGAGCAGGCTGACTCTGCTCTCGCCCCCGCCGAACAGGCCGACCCTGACACCGCTCCCACCACCGCCGAACAGGTCGACTCTGCTCTCGCCCCGCCAAACAGGCCGACACCGACACCGCCGAACAGGTCGACTCTGCTCCCGCTCCCGCCGACGATGCTGACCCTTCTCCCGACACCGCCCCGGCCCCCGCCAAACAGGCCGACACCGACACTGCCGCTGCCCTCAAGGCTTCTCAAGACGCACACAAGACTGCCGCTGCGCGCGCCCAGGAGTTTGCTGGCAAGCTCATCGGCTCCCAAGCCCAGATCGAGGAACTGACCTCCGAGCTCGACGCCGCCCGTGCTCGCATGGCCGAGATGCAGGTCACCATCCGCAGGCTCATCGAGCAGATGCCTGCCGCCGTCCACCAGTACACCCGGGTCTTCCGCGAGCTCGACTCGTCGATCGACACCTCGCTCGAGGACTCGATGCACCGCTCGCGCTCGATGTCGCGCTCGCCATCACCGCCCGCCGCCGCCGCTCCTCGCGGCGTCACCTCCGCCGCCGCCGCCGTGCCTTCGGGCCCGCGCACGCCCGAGCAGATTCTCTCGGCTTATCGCGCCGACCGCGCCAAGCGCGACGTCGCCAGCGCTGTCCACTCGTAGCGCTCTTTACTTTGCCTCCGCTTGCGCCTGCTGCAGCCGCATGCCGAACCAGTGCTCCAGCTCGTGCACGATGTCGACCTTACGGACGCCGGTCCCGCCGGTGACCAGCTTACGGACGAGCCAGTCGCGGGTCTTCAGCGAGTCCCACAGCGCGAGCTCGGCTGACTTGGCCGCAGCCCGCTTGCGGATGTCCGCCGGAATGCCTGCCAGCCGCGCCACGTTGAGCCCGTACGAGTCGTCGGCGCAGCCGGCAACAAGCTGGTAGAGGAACACAAGCTCGTCCTCGCCCTCGCCCTCGCCCTCGCCGCCTCGCGACTTCATAAACGACATGTGGTAGTTGGCCACCTGCTCCGCAAACTGGGCCTCAAACGCCGCCATCTGCGGATAATGCGTGATGAAAAGCGTGACAGGCTGCGTCACCGTCACTAGGTGATGGAGCACTGCCGCCGCAATGGCCACCCCATCGTGAGTCGACGTTCCGCGCCCAAGCTCGTCCAGAATGACAAGCGACCGCGGCGTCGCCTCGGCGAGCACGTTGGCAGTCTCCAGCAGCTCGACAAAGAACGTCGAGTGGCCCTTGAACAGTGCGTCCGAGGCGCCCATTCGTGTGTACACCGCATCAAACGGCGTGAGCACCATCTCGGTTGCGGGCACGTACGATCCCATCTGCGCCATCACCGCCAGCAGCGCCACAGACCGCGCCAGCGAGCTCTTGCCGCCCATGTTCGGCCCGGTCAGCACCACCGTCCGTGGCCCGTCAAGTCCAATCGAGTTGGCCACGTACTCGCCAGCCCCAGACGACGCCATCACCTGCTCCAGTACAGGATGTCGAGCCTTTGTCGCCCGCAGGATCCCGGCTCCGTCCGCGTTGGCCTCGACAAGCTGCGGCGCAGTGTAGCCCGGTGTACGCGCCAGCAGCGCAAGAGAATGCAGTGCGTCCAGCGTCGCAGCTACGTCGACGTACGCCTTGAGATCAGAGTACATGTCGGCAATGCCTTTCAGCCACCCTGCCCATGCCGCCCGGCCCGCCGCCTCTGCCAGCTCGCTCTCCACCTGCAGCTGCTGGTGCGCCCGCGACACTGCTGCCGGGCGATAACGCTTGACCTTTTTCGTCGTCGAGACTAGACTCCAGTCCATCGGCACCCGGTCCACGGCTTTGACCGGAACCTCGAGCAGGTAGTCCTCCTGCGAGACAGAGACATAACTCAGCGCTGGGAGGCCGACCTCGCGCCGTGCCGTCGGGAGATGCACCTCGTCCAACTCGCGCCGCAGCCGCGCCATCGCACTCCGCGCCCTCGCCAGCTCCGGAAACTGCGCATCCGACATAAACAGCCGCACCATGTCACCCGATGCCGCAGCCGCAGGCAAGAGCTCGCCGAGCTTGGCCCGGAGCACTGGCGCGAGCTCCGGGAGCGACGATGTGAGCTTGGCCAGCAGCGGCGCGCCAGCCAGCGCCGACGCTGCAGGCAGCGCGTCCATCAGCACTAGCATGCCCTCTGCTACCTTGACAAACTGCGCCGGCGACAGCCTCCCAAACACAAGCGCTCCGACTGCACGCTCCAAGTCCGGCAGTGTCCGCAGCGCCGTCAGCAGCTTGACAAGCTGCTCCGCCCCGCTCGACTCAAACGCCAGATACGCCACAGCGGCCTGTCGCTCTTGGATCGCCTTCGCATCCACCAGCGGCGCCAGCATCCACGAGTGCAGCCGCCGCCGCCCCGGTGCGCTCTGCGTCCGGTCGAGAACCCAGAACAGCGACCCGTAGTCCGACCGCCGCTTGGCTGATGAGAACGCTCCTGCACCGGTGAGCCCCAGTGGGGAGCTCACGCTCACCATGTCTAGATTCGCCAGTGCCGATGCCGACAGCCGCATCCGCGTCGCATGCAAGACACGCGCAGGCTGTGCCCGCGGCCCAAGGACCTGCGCAAGCTTGAACTGGCCCAGCCAGTCCGCCATCGCTCCAAACGCCCGCACCAGCGCCTCGCTCTCGTCCGCCACCGCCAGCACCGACGAGCCCAGCTCCACAAGCGCCTTGCGCGCTGTTGCCGCCTCGAACGCGCTCATCGCAAGCCGCTCGGTCCGCACGCCCGTCAGTGTGTTGCGTTTGGCGTCGACGTGTGACGAAATGATCCGTTCGGTCTGCTTGGAGAGCGTGCCCGCCGGCGGGAGCAAATACTCGGACGGCTGAAGTCGCTTGAGCATTGCATCGAGGTGCGTTCGCAGCGGATCGGGTGCAAACGACTCGTGCAGCACCTCGCCCGTTGACGGCTGGACAACAGCAAGCGCGATCGCCGGCTCGCGCCCGGCCTCGCCGCTCTCCTCCCACACCGACACAAGATATGTCGGGCGCCACGCGTCTGGCCCGCCCGAGTCGCTCACAGCTGCTCCGCTACGCTCGCCTGCACTCGACTTGCGGAACCGTCCGCCGCCAGGTACAAACCGCGCCTGTGGTGTCGACGCGTGCTCGGTCGTCGAGCTCACCTGCGCCGCAAACGCCTCATCAATGAGTGTCGAGATGGTGAAGACCTCGGCAAGCGACCGCGTCATCAAGCCCTTGGACGCCGTCGCCTTTTTCACCGCAGCCGTCTCGGTCTGCCGCACAATACCGACCTTGTGCCCAGCGCGGACCAGCCGCGGGACGTGGACCGCGAGCGAGGTGAGCGGAAACGCGGCGTTGGCAAAGTTGTTCTTCGGATAGCACACAATCGAGAGAATCCTTGCCGCCGCAACAGCGTCTTCACCAAACATCCGGAACTTGTACCCAACCTGGACGCAGAGCAGGATCTCCGGGTGCTTCTCCTTGATCTCCAGGACCTGCGCCTCAAGCACCGTGTACTTGACCCCTGCCCGCCGCACCAGCCGCGTTGTATGCGCCGGCAGAGCCGGCCCAGACCCCACTCGCATCATTTGACCGTCGTCCTTGCCCTTGTCTCCTCCTCCGCCCACCCTGCTGGTCCTGCCGCTTGCGCTGCTGCCTCCACTCGCCCGAGTAGAATCGTTGCTGCCTCTCTTGGCACGCTTTGCCGTCCGCGGCTCCTCGCCGCTACCCACCGCCACCTCCTTTCGTTTCCGCTTGCCCGGTATCTCATTGGCTACTCCACCACCAGCCGCAGCAGCCGCAGCAGCCGCAGCAGCCGTCTTGACTGCGTCTGCGGCAACCTGCATCGGTGCCGGCGCCGCCTCGCTGCCGCTCGCCAAAGCCTCGCTCGCCGACAGATCCTCAGCCGGCTCGACACACATCGGCGCCACCTCGGCCTCTGTGCCCACACTTGCTGACATAACCGGAGATGGGACTGGTGCGGGCTTTGATGCAGGTGCGGGTGCTGAGAAGAACCGCGAGATGGCAGTCTGCTTCGACATGACCGTACCCTACACCGCGACGACAAGTGGGCTCTCGCTCTCGCCCTCCTCCCCGGTCACCAGCCACCGACCCACCGCGAGGTTTGACCACGCCGGCCCACAAAAAGGTCGTGCTTTTCCTTCCACCCATGCCTACCAAGCACTTTACTTACTTCCAAGGTGGCTCGAACGTACAGCCCGCCATGTCACGCCCGGCCCTGGCCGCCCTCGGCTGCCAGCGGGTCGGGGACAAGGTCTACTGCGATGCATGCATGGTGCTGTTGGCGCCGCCCGACCCATACTACAACTGCCTCGACTGCGCCGACTTTGACCTCTGCCCCGCCTGCTTCTCGCCAGTCGCGTCTCCGGCTGACTCTCTCGATTCGCTCAATCACCCCGGCCACGATGCCTTCCCGCACCCGTACCCACCCCATCATCCCGGCTGTGAAGACCACATGTTTGTGCGGGTGACGATGGCCACGAGTGTTGCACGGAGCCGCGTGTGCTGCCAGCCGCCCCACCCTCGCGCCGCGCTCCTTGAGGCGATGTTCCAGGCTTACGGCCCCCGCCCGAGCCTCGGTGTCTTTCCCTTCCGCCCATCAAACTGGTGGAGCTACGCTGAGCTTGGTCTCCGAGTTCGTTCTGCTGCCGCCAAGCTTGTCGATGCTTCCGCAGGCCTCTCGGGCCGTCCAACGGTGGTTGTGTTGGGGGCCAACTCGCGAGCCTGGCTCGTCGCCGACATGGCGGTGTGCTGGATCGGAGGCCTCACCATCCCGCTCAGCACCTCGATGAGCGACAGCGCGCTGGTAGCCGCAGCTGATCTTGCAGCTGCAAACATGATCGTGTGCGACGATGCCAGTGCCGACCGCCTGGCGCTCCTCCTTCCCGCGCTGCCGACGGTGTCGATGGAGGCACTGGCAGAGCGTTGCGAAGCGCAAGTTGCGGACCCGGTCTCTGTTTGCCCCCACGAGTTGACCACGCTCTTTTTCTCCTCGGGTACGTCCGGCAACCCAAAGGCAGTCATCTGCACCGATGCCATGTTTGTCTCGGACGCCGTCTTTCCGCTCTCGCCACTCCTTCAGCCGCTGGTCCACCTCTCGTGGCGGCCCCTGGCCCATGCCAACGATCGCACCATGTGCGCGCGCATCCTGACGTCAGGCGGTCGGGTCGGCGTGTGGCGCGGTGACCCTGCGCTGCTGTTTGACGACTTTTACACCCTGGCCCCGATTCGGACCGCGCTCCCGCCGGCAGTCCTCTCTCGTCTCTACAACGAGTACACGGCCGCGCTCGCCGACACCGACGCCGATCTTGACATTGTTCGCAAGACCTTCAGTGCCGCTTTTGGCCAGCGCATCAAACTGATCACCGTCGGAGGCGCCCCGGTCCCACGCCACGTCTTAGCCTGGGCCAAGGATCTGTTCACCTCTGCCGACGTTGTGGAGACGTACGGCATTACCGAAGCTGGCGGCGTGGCTGCCGACGGCCGCATTGTTCCGGGCGTTCAAGTCAAGCTCGTTGACGTGCCCGAGATGGGGTACGCAACCACCGACAAGCCGCACCCACGTGGTGAGATCCTGGTCAAGTCGGCACAGCTTGCACCGGGCTACTTTTGCGACGATGCTGGCACTGCAGCTGCCTTTCTCGACGACGGCTGGTACGTCACCGGTGACATTGGTGTCATGCCGGCGCCTGACGAGCTGCATGTCATCGACCGCCGATCTGCGTGCTTCAAGCTGGCAAACGCAACCTGGGTCACTCCCGGTCGAGTCGAGAACGCGCTCCTTGTCGCGCTACCGCAGCTGAGAGCGGTGGTGGTCATGCAGGGCGTCGGTGAACTGGCCCGATTCCCCGCATGCGTCGCCGTTGTCGACTCTTCTGACGTCGGCTCGGTTGCCGACGCCATCGCCACTGCCACCGCCTCGGCTCACGCCGGCCTCCCACACATCCCTTCCCATGCGGTGGCGGTGGCGACCGTGCCTTTTTCTGTTGCCGATGGCACGATGAACGCGTCCGGAAAGGTCGTCCGCGCCCGGGTCCGAGCAAAGTATCTCGAGGCGCTTCGCTCGCAAGCTGCGCAGTTGTTGGAAGACACCGTGGCCACCTCAGTGGCCAGCGTGGTTGGTGAGCTTGGCGTCGACGATCACTGGTTTGATCGCGGAGGCCTCTCGTCCATCGACGCGCTCTCGCTGGCGAGCCGGCTTCAGTCGAGCCTCGGAGTCGAGCTCGACGTCGCCGACCTGTACCGGGCACCAACGGTGCGGGCGCTGACTGCTCTCGTCGGCGGCTCCGCCCTCGCACAGCCTGCCAAGCCGACAGTTGCCAACTGGGCTGCCGCCAAGGCACAGGCCGAGGCGTGGATGGCCGAGCGGTGGCAGGACGTGCCGCCATCGGACGGCTGCGGGGCGGCAGGACGGGTCATCGTTTCGGGTGCGACTGGCTTTGTGGGCTCGTTCCTCGTCGCAGCTCTCCTTAATGCCGGAGACGTGTCCGAGCTTGTTGCGCTTGTTCGTCGTCGAGGTGGCGGGCACGCTGCGGCGGCTGCCCGACTGCACAAAGTGCTGTGCGGCATCGGGGTTGAACACGAGACCCTCAAGTCGCGGCTCACGGTGGTGGGCATTACTTCGATCGGCGACGTGCGCTTTGGTCTCAGTGCGCCCGAGTATGCGGCGGTGGTGGGAGGCGACGGCGCTGTGCGTGTTGTACACGCTGCCGCCGTTGTCTCGTCGGCTCCGTATGAGGCACTGGCAAGCGTCAACGTATGCGGCGTGGTTGAGATGGCGCGACTGGCCGGGCTTGTGCGCGCGGCGCGAATGGATGTTGTCGGCTCGTTGAGCGGCAAAGGAGTGACGATGGAGTGCGGCGACATCGCCGCCGCCGCCGCTGCCGCTGACGCTGACTTTTCCGCCCGCGGTGGCTACGGGACGACCAAGGCGCTGGCCTCTCTTGTGGCAGAGCGCGCCGCGAGTCTCTGCCCCGCAGTCGTCGTCCACGTGTGTGGCCTGCTGGGGCCGAGCCGTGCCGGGTTCGGCAACTGGAACGACAGGGTCACCGTCTTGGTCCGCGCCATAGCAAAGACTGGCGAGGCACCGCCGCGGCGGAGCTACTCGTTCCAGCTCTTTCCAGTCGACGAGGCGGTCGTGGTCATGCTGGGCGCTGATGCGAGCAGTGAAGTGGTGGGCGAAGCGGTGCTCGCGCTCGATGATGTGCTCGACGCGCTGCCGGTCCGCCTCCGGCACGCCGGGTCTCTCGCCGAGTGGGTGGAAGCCGTGCTAGTTGCCCTGCAGAAGCAAGGCGATGAGAGACTGCATGCCGCGTTTAGCACGCTCTACCGCAACGGCGGCGGCGGTTGTGCCGATGTGGCGGAGGTGAGCACCGGTGTGGATGCTGCGGCTTATGCGGCTTGGGTGGCGGAGCGTGTGGCGGAGACGTCGTGTGGCGGAGCAGCCGCGTCGTCTTAAGCCGCGCGTTTGGGGTGCGCTGGAAAGCCGCCCGCAAGACCCAACCACTCTTTCGACGACCTTTTACACATACATCATGCCTGCTGCACCTGAGGATGGCGACGGCAACGGTCACGAGTGCACATGCTCGGCAAGCGAGTTTGTCATCGACGTGGCGCAGAGTGGGGCCGGCCAGGGCCGGATCATGCGTGTCTGGGGATGCGACGAGAAGAAGGCTGGCGAGAGCAAGGTCATCTGGAGCTGCGGCGCGGACCACGTGGACTGGAACGCGTTCGCCGCTGCCCGCCGGTTCCCGCGCGGATTTGTGGAGAGCGGGCGCGGGCACATCCATGTCCCGTTCCAGCCAGTCGACGACGACGAGGTTGTTGGCGGCGTCATCATCCCGTTTGTGTGCGGCGCCAAGCGCGCGCTCTGCCGCGTCGCTACCCCTCCCGGCCAAGTTGCAGGCTCGCTCTGCTCATGGATGATGTAGATGCAGAACGTTGAGCCTGCTTGTAGTCAGGCCCCAATGAAACTTGACACGATGTCGTTGCTCCGGGGGAAAACGAACAGGAGGGGAGAAAAACAGAGACATCATTGAAAGATAGCCATGCCCTGTCACCTTCTTTCCAACACACCCACACCACCAGCACGACACCGCCAGACGCTGCTCCCGGTCTCCGCCACCTCCCACTCCCACATTCCTCCACTCCCACTCCACTCAATTCCACCTTCCACCTTCCACCTTCCACCTTCCACCTTCCAAAGACCAACCTCGGTCCTTGGGTGAACCCTTACACACAGCCACAACTCGTGACGTCGGAGCCCGACAGCCACAGCGCCCCCCCCCCCCCCCCCCCTACCCCTACCCCCCTCGTGCCGCCACCGTTTGGGACGGTCAAGTTTCGGACAGCTTCATGTCGGCATCAGCAAGGACAACACCGCGACGGGGTGGGTCGAGCACCCCAGGTAGTGGCGCAGAGACGCTGGTTCGGTCGACGTCAGAGACTCAGCTAGACGTGCTGCGGCATGCGCTGCTCTCGGTCTTTCCGCCCGAGTCGGAGGACGCTCGCGAGGCGCTTGCCGCCGTCTCGGAGGCCACCTCGCTCGATGCGGCGCTCAACTATCTGATGGCACTGCCGCCGCTGCCGGACACCGAGGCGGATCGGGCGCTGACCGCGATTGTGCTGCGGTCCAAGGGCCCGTCGCCGCGCGACGATGTGGCGGCGGGCGCCGAGAGCGAAAACGCTGGCGACAGCGGCGGCGATGGCGGCAGGCCGGGGCCGGTGACGATTCCCGGAAGCGAGGCCTGCGCGCTAGAGGCGACACTTGCAGCGTCGCCAGGCTCGCCGCACTCGTCGCCGCCGCGGCCGCCGCTGCTGACCGTCCCGCCGCCACCCACCTTTGAGTCGCTCATTGTGCCCGAACAGGAGCAGCTGTACCGCCTCTCGCCGGTGGCCAGCGGTGATGACGCGACGCTGGAAGAGCTGATGCAGCAGCTAGCAGACGGTCAGCAGAAGAGTGTGCGCGCGAGCAGCGGTTCGCCGCACTCGTTTACCGAAGCACGGACGGCCAAAGTGGCGTCGCTGGAGCACAAGATGGCGATCACGCCGCTGGCGGTCGATGTCAAGCGCGGAGCCGCGGCGATACCGGTCGACGTGGCGGCGGCGGTGGCGCAAGCAGAGGCCGGTGTCGGGCCGTTCTTCGACTCAGTCAAAAGAAGCGAGCCGGCCTCGCGGAGCTTGCGCCGCTGTCGGACGGGTCGGAGACTGGACTTGCACCGCTTGGCCCGCGGGCGCGGCGCCTGCCTGTAGCTGGGCGGGCTATTTCGCGGCCGGGCTTCAAGGTGCCGTCGCTTGCGTTGGTGGGCTCGAGCTCGGGTTCGTCGGGCCCGCAGTCTGTCGGGCCACGAGCAGTGCGGATCGACGAGGCCGGCAGCGAGTCGGCAAGCAACGAACCGCCGCGGCGGACGTTCTCGCTCCAGCCGCTGGCGGTCAAGCCGTTTGAAGGCGTGCGGGCGATCCGGACTGATGCCGGGCGCGAGCGGCACGCCGAGCCTGCGTCTGGTGGGCTCTCGCCGGGCCTGGCGTCCATTCTGGGTAAGGCAGCCAAGACGACGCCGCTGGCAGACGAGACTGACGACGACTTGCTCGACTTGATCAACATCTCTGACGACGACGACGCAGCGCTGTTTGAGGCGTCGGATACCGGAACGCTCTCGGGAGCGCTGATGAGCGGTGGCAGCGGGCGCAGCAGCGAGCTGGTGAGCTCGCGCGGGACGCTGGAGGATGTCGAGAACGGGCTGCGGATGACGCCGTTTGGGTTTTCGATGCTCTCCGAGTCGTGCGGGCATACCGAGGCCATGTTCTCCCCTCGCGTCACGCCGCGGCTGCTGGAGCGGTTCGAGGCCAAGTGGGGCCAGCTGTCGGAGCGCCCTGTAGCTCAAGGACTCGGATCAGGCGCGAGCAACGGCGAGGGCGGAGTGAGCGGGGGTGGAAAGGCCACCGCCGGTGGCGTCCGCGGCGTGGCGTTCAACGAGTTGGAGATCCTGGGCAAGCTCGGCAAGGGTGCGTCCGGCACAGTGTTCAAGGTCCGGCACATTCCGTCGGGCGAGTTGATGGCGGAGAAGACAATTCCGCTTGCGACAAACCCTGATATCCGCAAGCGGATTGCACGCGAGCTGCGGGTGCTTGCGCGGTGTGACTCGCCATTTATTGTCCAGTTCAAGGGCGCGTTCTTTTCCGAGGGCTCGATCAAGGTGTGCATGCAGTACATGGACCGCGGCTCGCTCCGCGACCTGTACGCAGCCGTGGGCTCGGTGCCTGAGCCTGCACTTGCCGCCTTTGCCCTCTCGATCACCGAAGGCCTGCACTACCTCAAGACCCGACTCAACGTCATGCATCGCGACGTCAAGCCGGAAAACGTGCTGGTCAACTCTGCGGGCGAGGTTAAGCTCTGCGACTTTGGCGTATGCGTCAACCTGGTCAACTCGCTGGCGTCGTCTGTGATCGGGACGCAGTTGTACTTTGCGCCCGAGCGGCTAAGCCACACCTCCGAGGGCCCTGCGCCGTACACCGTCCAGGCCGACGTGTGGTGCATGGGCCTCCTCCTCGCCGAGGTCGCGCTGGGTGAGTTTCCGTACCCGCCGCGCGAGCACGGGCCCGACTGGACGCCGCCTACAGTCGGTGCGCCGCCGCCGAGCCTCTCCATCATGGAGCTTCTGTACTTTTTCCTCAACGCCGACTCGCCGTCGCTGCCGTCGCCGGCATACTCGGAGCAGGCGCGGTCGTTCATCAACGCGTGCTTGATGAAGGACGGCAAAGCACGGCCAACGCCGTCGGAGCTCCTCAAGCACCCGTTCATCGCCGCCAACGCCTTTCCCGACTTTCACCTCGGCGAGTGGCTGTCCAAGGTCTACGACGGCGACTCCGCGTCGGCGTAGCAAGTGGCAGCGTCGAGTATGAAACGATGCAGATCCCCTCTCCCACTATGACCCGGTGGAAACGCGCGTCGAGGCGGCAGCAAGCCGGCGACGCTCGTTCTCAAGCTCGACCTCGCGCTGCAGAGCATCGTAAAGGATCTCCTCTATCTCGGCATGGCCCTTGCGCCGGGCATAGTCGATGGCAAGATAGCCGGCATGGGTTCTGATGGTCGACTTGGCGCCATGCTCGAGGAGGAGGCGGACGCTGGACGGACCGGGCGCCCAGCGGACCGGGCGCGCAAAACATGTGAGTCAGGTGGTGGACGAAGATGGAAGAAGGGAACGGGAGGAGGGAGCAGTTCGTACCATCCCTTATTGCCTTGGTAGGCGGCTGTGTGCAAGCAGGTCCATCCGCCCGGATCGCATCGGGCGTTGACGACCTCGGGCGCCTCGTGGCTCAGCGCCTCCAACCGGCTCCGCAGCCGCTTGACCGACCCGGCCCGCGAGAGCTTGACCAACTCGGAGACCTGTTGACGGAGCTGGTCAGCAGCAGCCTCGGCCATGGCAACAGCCGCCTCGTCCCGTATGGTCACCCCCTGTTGGCTGTCGTCCGCCATGTGCCAGCAGCGGGAGTGCGTCGGAGAGAGCTGTCGAGACCAAGGCCGGCGGCATCAGCCACTACCGCACGCTACCAACAGCGGTGGTGATGGCGGATGGCGGCGGTGGTGGCAGGCAGGCCAGGGGATCAGCTTGCAAGAGACAGAAGAAACCGATCACGACATGAGTAGCCATGACCAACATCATTGAGGGGTGAATGAGCTGTAATCGGGCTGTGACTGGCCAGCAACCAGCTCTCGCTTCCTTGGTGCGCTCGGCTCGTTAGGCTCGGTCACGTCGGCTCGCTCGGCTCGGTCACCTCGCTCACCTCGGCTCGGCTCGGCTCACCTCGCCATGATCCACAGCCTACTCTACTGCGTTACTACGACGCTTGCCTTTGTCGGCTCGCTCTACCTCTGGCCCAACCCGCAGCAGCTCTCCCGTGACGAGCCGGCTATCATCAAGCGGCGGCTGGTGTCCATCGTGGTGGTCTCGGTCGCTGCCACTGGCTGGCTCTGGCTCGGCTTCCTCCCTCACGCTACCCTAGGCCAGCTGCTTGTCCACGTTGGTCTCCTGCCGCCGTACTCTGCCTGGGGCTGGCTGGTCTCGCTCGCTCTTCCGCTGGCGGCATCAATGGCGTGCTTCGCCGGCCCTCTGGTCATGGCCTACGTCGACGAGGAGCTGCCTGGCCAGCGGCGATCGTATCTTGCTGCTCTCGAGCCGTGGGTGGCGATGCGGAACGTGGTCATTGCTCCGCTTGGCGAAGAGTATGTCTTCCGTGCGCTGCTGATGACGGCGCTGCGGGCAGAGGGCTTCTCCTGGGGAACTGCGTCGCTCATCTCGCCGCTCTGCTTTGGCCTCGCCCATCTGCACCTCTACTTTGCCGGCCGCCCGCTCGTCGCCCTCCTTGTCATGCTCTGCTACACCTCCATCTTTGGCGGCTACTCTGGCCTGCTCTTTGCCGCCACCCGCTCGTTCTGGCCGCCTGTTGCTGTCCACGCCTTTTGCAACTACATGGGCCTGCCCGAGTTTGCCGCCATGCCCGGCCATCGGGCCAAGGTCGCCATTCTCGTTGCGCTCTTTACCGGCGTCGCCATCTTTGCGCTCACCTTTGACCACGTCACATCTGCCGCGAGCTACGGGCACCAGCCGTAAGCGGTAACAACCGTCCGTTCAATGGGTAATGTGCTCGTTCTCAAAGGCCTCGCTCCACTCGTCGTAGTCGTCGTCGGCACAGTCGCCGTCGCCGTAGCCGGCGTCGCCATACAGCACGGCCGTCTCGGCCTGCTCCTTCTTCATGGCAGCAATGCGGATGGCGTCTCCCAGAACCTTGACGGCCTGCGAGTAGGTGATGCGCGAGGTCTCGAACGGGTCGGCCTCGTTGAGCATGGCAACAATGTCGGCGTGCGAGCGGCCGGGGTCGATGGCGTGGACGAGGTTGCGGAAGTCCTCGTCGTTGATGATGCCCTTGATCTTGGGCTCAAACGGCGGGAGCGGCTCGAGCGCGCCCGACGCCTCATCGGCGGCGGCGGACCACTTGTCCTCCAGCGCGGCGCGCGCCTTGAGCTCGTTCTCCTTGCCGGCCTCCCACACCTCGTTGAACAGCCGCGTAAAGTCGCCGAGGAAGGCGTGGTGGCCCTCGAGCTGGTAGTCGAGCACAATCTTGCGGAAGTCCTTAAAGAGGATCGACCGCGAGGCGTCAGCAGCCTCCTCGCGCCGCAGCGACTTGTACGTCGGCTGGAGGTCGGCCAGCCGCTGCTTCTCGGCCGCCTCGCGCCGCTTGTCGTCGGCGACCTTGGCCGCCACCCGCTCAACCAGCCGCTCCTGGTCGCGCGGCAGCTCGTAGATCTTCTGAATGAGGAAAATCCACTCCTCCTCGGTGAGGTAGTCGTTGAGCCGCTCCTGGAAGAGGTCCGTGATTTCGGCCTCGGCCACCTTGGGATTCTCCAGCTTGAGCATGGCGTACAGCAGCTGGTTCACCGTCCGCTTGATGGTGTAGTGGTAGTCAAAGAGGTAGTCCTCGTGGAGCTCGTTGTTGAGAATGTACGTAAAGCACTTGACGTCCGGATCGCGCGCATAGTCGACCAGGCCCTGCCGGATGCCCTCCAGCCAGCCCTTGATGATCCGCTTGAGGCCGTACTTTTGGTTGAGAAAGGTGAACACGTGTTCCTCCATCGTCTCGTACGGCAGCTGCGACTGCTCGCAAATCTTGTTGTAGTTTTGCTTCGACGCGTAGATCTCCTCGATGAGCGCGTGCAGATTCTTGAGCTTGAGTTCCGGCCGGAACTTGGGTGGCGGCCGCCGCCGTGCCTCCTGCGCCTTGCGCGCCTCTTCTTGCGCCTTGCGCTCCGCCGCGCTCACCCGCGGCGCCGTCAGCCGCTGGAACGACTCTGTCATCGTCACCGGCAGCCGCGCGCCCTCGTTGCGCCCTCCACCCCGCGTGGATCCGGCTCCCTCGGACCCGTTCCCGCCGGCACCGCGCCGCCGGCCGCCGCGCGACGAGCGCGACGCCCGCGACCCGGCATCGTCGCCGATCCCGGACGCTACCGACGCAGACCGCGTCGCCAGCTGCCGTCGACCCAGCGGCAGCGTCTGTGTCTCTCCCTCCTCCTCGTCGTCGTCACCGTACTCATCGCCGCCGCAGCCGCCCCGCCCACCGCCGCTCAGCTGGGCCATGTCCAGCGCACCGCCACCGCTGCCGCCGCCGCCACCGCTGCCGCCACCGCCCGCCGCAGACGCCGCCTTCAGCTTGCTAATCTGCTCGCGGTAGTGGAGCGACATCGACTCGATGATGGCCGGCTGCTGCTCGAGGAACTTTTTGTGCTTGTCAAAAAATGCGTTGACGACGCGGACAAGCCCGGGATTGCCCATGTCTGCGTCGAGGATCTTCAGCAGCGCCTCCTTGCACACGTCGTAAAACTTGGCCTTGGCCAGGACATACTCGGACGCCCGCAAAAAGATGTCCGAGATGCCTTTGATTCGCGAGAACGACTCGTCCATCAGCCGGTGCATCTTCGACTCAAACGCCGCCGTCAGCGCCGCCGCGTCCTTCTTAGAGTACGACGACGAGACGTTGAGCACTTCCTTGTACAGATCCGCCACGTCTACACCCTCATTCAATCAACGCCACCAACACCAAGACGTCGACTATGAGTACTCTCGTCTTGATCATGTTGTTGCTCTTGCTGCGGCTCCTCCGAGCCACCAATGCGAATGCTCAGTTACTATCTAGCGTGTAATAATGATCGACATGCATGCGTTCAGATCAAATGTACAATGCATCATTGCATGATTGGTGGCGGGTGGGGGGAGGAGGGGAGGGGGGGAGGGAGGGGGGGATGGGGGCGGGGGCGGGCGGAGGGAGGGGGGGGGGGACAAGGGGAGGGGCGGCGGAACAAGGGCCCAGCCGTTGGACGACCTCCGGGGGGGGACAGTGTTTGACGTGGCTCCACAGGCCGAATGCGACGTCCAACCACGGCCACAGCCACACACATAACATGACCACTCTTCAACCGTTGTGGTAGTGTGTGGTGGAGGTGCGCGGGGTGGAGGTGGTGGCTGTGGTGCCAGTGGGAAGGCGTAGGGCTGGTGGGGGTGGGGGTATGAAAAATTGTTGCTACCAAGCAACAACGGCTGGGGAGGATCACAGTCATGGACGCCGTGGGCAAGGAGAGGACGTACCCTGAATGTCGGCCTTGGAGAAGGTACAGATACGAGCGAGGGTATCCTTTACACGGGAGGCTGCACTAGTCGGCTCTCCTCCACTGCCGGCCGAGGCCCCACTGGCCTCGGCCACCTTCTTCTTGCGCCGCCGCCGCCGTTTGACCTGGCCCGACATGGCGAGAGACGGATGTTGATCGACGCGTCGAAACTCCAACTGCGGCACCGGCACACGGCTGCACAGCCCAGGGGGGGGGGGGGTCCAAGCTCACGATTCTTCGCGCCAAGACTCAAACTCGGCGAGGTCGATGACAAATGAGCCGGCGTGGGCATGGCCGCCCCCGCCGTACGCAGATGCAAGGGCGTCGATGGTGTACTCGCCCTGCGACCGGAGCGAGACCTTGATCTTGTCGGCGCCGAGGAGATCCTCGTGGTAGGCGACAACACCGACGGCTGGCCGCCCGGCCGCTGCGCCGGCGGTCGACAGCGCGTTGCCGAGGTCCGACCGGTAGCCAGGCGTGGCTGTGACGACGGCAAGCACTCCGTCAGCCCACGGCGCCTTGGGCATGCAAAGCACAAACGCGTCCTCGCTTACCGCCCGCGCCACCTCGGCAGCCTTGCGCGCCTCTGCCTCATCGCCGCGCGCCATCACAGCAGCCACATCGAGGCCGAGCAGCGTGTCAAACACGCCCGGGTTCGCCGCCCCCGACAACTCCAGCTCGAGATCGTGAAAGCCGGCCGAGAACCGCCGCGAGCCGTCGAGCGCCCACCGCCACAGGTCGCCGTCCTCCACAAACTGGAACATCAGATCCAGGCTCGCCAGGCTCGCGCCCGCAGGCAGCGCGTGACCAAACAGCGCCTCGCGCGAGCCAGCCTTTCCGGCGTACACATCGCGGGCAATCGTCGCCGCAGACCGCTCCATGTCCATCACCACCTCGACATTGTCCGGCAGCGCGGCCTTGGCCAGCCACTCGGCTGCACTCTTGTGATGGTCCATGATCAGCACCTCGCCCACAGTCTCCGCCATCTTTCCCAGAAACGCTTCATTGGCCGTGTAGTCGACAAACACCGCCGCGTCGTCCTTCCCGAACCCCTCGCCGTCGTGCTCAGGCGGCGTGTCCGGCTCGCAGAAGATCTGCACCGCACACAAGTCAACCACAGCACACGCCACACACACAAACACACACACACACACACACACACACACACACACACACACACACACCACCCAGCACGCGTGAGTCCACGCCCGATCCTCCGCTCCCCCCCTGCCCCTGCCCCTTGCCCCTCAACCCCCTCGCCCGCCTGCCTGCCTCTCCATACCCGCGATGGATGCCAGCAGACCTCGGCGGTCGCGCCCGGCCGCGAGTAGAAGCAATGCGCGGCCAGCGCAGCAAAGACCCCGTCCGGGCACGGGTAGTGATAAAACACATGCACTCGCCGCACAGCGCTAGCCATTGCTGATGCTGAGAGAGTGAGATGTGCCGCACCACACACACCTGGTCCGAGCAGCAACGTGTGTGCGGTCCGGTCCACCTGCTCTGTCACGGTAGATCAGTGACGCGTTTTTCTCTCCTATTATCGGGGGGGGTAGAGACCAGCTAGGCATGGTATGGGGTGGGAGGATAGGGGGATAGCTCGGCATGGGTGAGAGGGGGTGGAGGGAGGTTGGCGGTGAGGGGGGGTGGGGGGGGGGTGGGGAGTTGCTGCTGGTGATGAGTCCCCTTGTGGCGGCAGTGTAAAGCGAGTTTGCTGCATTTTTATTGCTTTCGACAAGCCCCGCACGTGCGGCAAAAAAGCGAGTGGCCGGCCTCCCAAACGGCTGACGCACCGCACTTGGTGGACAGCTGCGGGTGGTCGGCCGGGGCAAGAACAGAGGGCACACAAGGTCTGTGCGATACACCTCACTCTGACTGGTCACTCCCGAGTGAGGCAGACGAGAGGAACATGGCCGACAACCCACCACGGGCGGTGGTGCTGGACGACTTTGACGCCGAGGCTGACGACGAGGTCTCGGTCACGGCTGGTGCGACGGTTGTGGTGCTGGAGACGTACGACGACGGCTGGGCCAAGGTCCGCGTCGTCTCCAAGGGCATCGAGGGCATGATGCCCATCATCTATCTCGAATACACAAACAAGGCACTGGCGCCCATGCCCACCCGCACGGCACCGGCCCCATCGCCGGCGCCGTCACCGTCGTCGTCGCCGACCTCTTCGTTTGCCAAGCTTCCGGCCTACGGCACATCGACGGCCGGCTCGGCCAGCACGCCGGCGTGGATCCCGCCACGCGGCGTCTCCGCGAACCGCAGCTCAGGGCGGTCGAGCGCGAGCTCTGCAAGTGGGTCGGGAAGCAGCAGCTCACGGTTTACCATGTCGGGCTGGCTCGACATCGAGGCCTCGCCGGGAAAGTGGAAGCGCAAGTGGTACGTGGTCGAGGGCAACAAGCTCACGGCTTGCCGCAACCCGAGCTCGCTCAAGAAGCGTGCTACTGTGGTCGAGTTTGGCGTCGGCTCTGCGGTCCGCCTCCTCCACCACAAGCAAGACACTACCGCTCCGCCTGTTCTAGAGATCACCACCCGCGGCGCGACCAAGCTCTACCTCCGAACCGCAAACTCGGACGAAGCCGAGCTGTGGCTCTCTGGCATCGAGACCGCCATCTACGGCGTCGGCAGGCTCAACTGACCGCGCCCTCCCCGCCGTGCCTGCTAGCCCCGCGAGCTAAAATCTCTTGCCGCACACCACCAACCAGCGTCTCGCCGTCAGCTGCGCCCCCGCCGCCGCGTCTCGAGCCCGAGCGCCAGGTTGTAGAGCGTGACCTCATCGACCGCCCGCGCCATCTCAATCTCGATGGCTGGATAGTGGTCAGCGCGAAAGGCTGCGACACACGGCGCCGCCAGCCGCGCCTCTTTCCGCAACATAAACTTGAGTGCCGAGTACACCGCCTCGAGGACAACGCGCAGCTCGTCCGGTGCATCGACAAGGGCGTGCGAGCCGCCGGCGCCGTCGCGCGACGACAGCACGCCCGAGCACGACGACGCGAGCCACGTCGTCGCGCACGCCCGCGCCGACGCCTCCTCTAGCACCAGCCACAGCGTGGCCGAGCTAGCCCAGAACACCGTGTCCATCGCCACCAGCACATCGGCAGACATCGACGCATACTCTGGCGACGGCACGCCCTTGCCCGACCGCGGCAGCGGCGTGCCCGACACTCCGTGCTTGTGCATCCACCCGCCCCACTCGCGGACAAGCGCGCCAAGCCGCTCCAGCGCCGCCGCCGCCGCCGATCCGCGCCCAACTGGCGCGTGCAGCGCCAGCGTGTCCAACCGCGCCGCCGCGCTCGCTCCCAGCCGCGCCACCTCGCCGTAGATCTTGGGCAGCATCGGCACACTCGCCGGGAACGCCATGACCGACGACGACCCAACCCGCGCCTCGCCGCCGGCCATTAGCTCTGCCAAAACCTCTTTTTCTGTCACAGACAGCACTGCGCCCTCTGCCAGGCCATGCACCTGCCAGCCGTCGTCATCATCGCCATCGCCCTGCCGCTCCGCCGTCGGCGATGGCGACCGTGACGAGCTCCGCGACGAGTTCCGCGACTGTGCTGCTCGCCGCAGCGACCCAGACGCCATAGACAGCGCATTGGCCGCCATTTCGCCTTCCCCTCCTCCCCGCGCCTGCCTGTTTCGGCTGCAGTCGGGTGTGCTGCCTCCTTGCCGCCTACCCACATGCCCGCCTGCGCCTGCGCCTGCGCCCACCTGCCGCCACTCTGCCTCTCGGCCCGCCAGCCTCGCGACAAACGCGCTCCCGCTCCATCCGCCCTACCGACTCAAACCAGACAATCGCCAGACAATTACACCGTGCGGAGGTGCCCCAGGATCCATGGGCTGGCCCCCGGTCTCAGCATCGGCTCGACGATGTCCATCTCCTCATCGCCGCAACCACGTGCGAGTCACCATCGCGGCCACGTCCATGGCCGGGCAGGGCGAGGAAGAGCCGATCTTCTCCCTCTCTGACCCAATCACAGGTTCCTTACGCCCTGCAGTCCACGATCCTACACATTTCTCATCGCCATCACAAACGGCCACTCCTCCACCCCCACCCTCCCCCCCCCATGCCATCTACAGAAGCGCGGCTCCAGCCGACCTGTCGTCCTCGTGCGTCCGAAAATCGGCACACGGGCAGTGTGTCGACAAAAATGGACGAAATTCCACAGACGAGCCATTTGAGCGCGAGCTGGCAAGGCGTGACGAGGAAAGAGAAGAAGAGAACCCGAGCGAGAAGAAAGACACACTTGGCTTTAAGACCTCCATCAAGACCATACACCTCGCTACCTTTGAGTCAAACAATGGCAAGCGTGACAACAACAACGAGCGCAAACGCGGCGTTCTCCGGAGGTGTTGCCCAGGAGATGCTCGCCGGCTCAGCTGGCCGGGCCGGCGACGGCTCCAAGCTCACGCCGCTCGAGGAGAAGCAGCTGCAGTCGCAGATGGGTGCCGGCCGTGCGCAGGACGCCGCCTACTTTCTGGATCGTGCTGACGAGACGCTAGTTCTTGGCGACGCCGAGCTGATGGGCACCGACGAGGCTGGCGAGATCAAGGCCAACCAGGGCAAGACGACCGTCATGTTCAAGGGCTGCACCGGGTGCACGTACACAATCACGAGCATGGTGGCCAAGATTCTTGTCGACCGCTGCGTCGACTGCACCTTTATCTTTGAGGGCAAGATCATGACCTCGACCCTGGAGATCTACAAGTCCTCCTCGTCCTCTTTTACCGTCGGTACCGTGCTCAAGACCGTCCAGGCCGATCTCTGCTCGGCCATCGAGCTCAACTTTGCCACCACCGAGAACTTTGATCGTGTCGTCTGGGCCGGAACCGAGGGCCTCACCGTCGCCTTTGCCGACGCCCCCGACGCCGGCCTCGTCACCTCGTACTCTGCCATGAAGGAGGAGCACGGACCGACGCTCCGCGAGGACATCGACCAGTTCATCATCCGCATCCTCGACTCCGGCGTCGCCGTCAACGAGCGTATCATCCGCCTGCCTAACGGCTTCCCCACCACTCGCCGCGAAAAGTATGAGTTTGACGAGCGCCAGGAGCGCAACATGCGCGAAATGGCCAAGCGCGTCTACGGCGAGAACATCGTCATCCCCAAGCGCAAGACTGGCGCAAAGGTCAAGCCCAACGAGAAGTGCCCTTGCCTCTCGGGCAAGAAGTACAAGAAGTGCTGCCGCACCAAGGTTGGCGTCGAGTTTACCCAGGAGCAGGTCGATCGTGCCCGCGCGTCGTAAACTACAGTAATCCCCTCGCCCGCTCACACACACGCACATCCGCCCGCCCACCACACACCACACGTGCTCTACACCATCCGCATTATGTCTAGGACCAATCCTCTCTACCCCACTGCCTGTAGCTCTCCAAACGCCACTTTGACCATCTCTTGCCCCAGATCATTGCCCCCCCCACACACACACACACATACACCGACACACCACCAGAGAGAGAGAACCGCCACAAGCACAACCGGCCTCACCACTTTGCACACCTCCTCCCCCCCCCCCCCC